AGTAATGATTCATACACCCATGGAGTCTTGGTGTTGATCATGTTTTGCTCGTGAGAGAGGTTTAGTCAACGGGTCTACAACATTCAGATTCGTATGTATCTTGCAAATCTCTATGTCTCCCTCCTTGACTTGATCGCAGATGGAATTGAAGTGTCTCTTGATGTGCTTGGTTCTCTTGTGAAATCTGGACTCCTTTTCCAAGGCAATTGCACCAGTATTGTCACAATAAATTTTCATGGGACCTGATGCACTAGGTATGACACCTAGATCGGATATGAACTCCTTCATCCAGACTCCTTCATTTGCTGCTTCCGAAGCAGCTATGTACTCCGCTTCACATGTAGATCCCGCCACGACACTCTGCTTGGAACTGCACCAACTAACAACTCCACCATTCAATAAAAGCACATATCCGGTTTGTGACTTCAAGTCATCCGGATCAGTGTCAAAGCTTGCATCAACGTAACCGTTTATGACGAGCTCTTTGTCACCTCCATAAACGAGAAACATATCCTTAATCCTTTTCAGGTATTTCAGGATGTTCTTGACCGCTGTCCAGTGATCCACTCCTGGATTACTTTGGTACCTCCCTGCTAAACTAATAGCAAGACACACATCAGGTCTGGTACATAGCATTGCATACATGATAGAACCTATGGCTTCAGCATAGGGAATGACTTTCATTTTCTCTCTATCTTCTGCAGTGGTCGGGCATTGAGTCTGACTCAACTTCACACCTTGTAACACAGGCAAGAACCCTTTCTCTGCTTGATCCATTTTGAACTTCTTCAAAACTTTATCAAGGTATGTGCTTTGTGAAAGTCCAATTAAGCATCTTGATCTATCTCTATATATCTTGATGCCCAATATATAAGCAGCTTCACGAAGGTCTTTCATTGAAAAATTCTTGTTCAAGTATCCTTTTATGCTATTCAGAAATTTAGTATCATTTCCGATCAACAATATGACATCCACATATAATATTAGAAATGCTACAGAGCTCCCACTCACTTTCTTGTAAATACAGGCTTCTCCAAAAGTGTGTATAAAATCATATGCATTGATCACACTATCAAAGCGTATATTCCAACTCCGAGAGGCTTGCACTAATCCATAAATGGATCACTGGAGCTTGCACAATTTGGTAGCACCTTTTCGATCAACAAAACCTTCTGGTTGCATCATATACAACTCTTCTTTAAGATATCCATTAAGGAATGCAGTTTTGACATCCATTTGTCAAATTTCATAATCATAAAATGCGGCAATTCCTAACTTGATTTGGACGGACTTAAGCATCACTACGGGTGAGAAGGTCTCATCGTAGTCAACTCCTTGAACTTATCGAAAACCTTTTGCAACAAGTCAAGCTTTGTAGATAGTAACATTACCGTCAGCATCAGTCTTCTTCTTGAAGATCCATTTATTCTCTATGGCTTGCCGATCATCAAGCAAGTCAACCAAAGTCCACACTTTGTTCTCATACATGGATCCCATCTCAGATTTCATGGCCTCAAGCCATTTTGCGGAATCTGGGCTCATCATCGCTTCCTCATAGTTCATAGGTTCGTCATGGTCAAGTAACATGACCTCCAGAATAGGATTACCGTACAACTCTGGTGCGGATCTTACTCTGGTTGACCTACAAGGTTTGGTAGTGACTTGATCTGAAGTTTCATGATCATCATCATTAGCTTCCTCACTTACTGGTGTAGGAATCATTGGAACTGATTTTTGTGATGAACTAGTTTCCAATAAGGGAGCAGGTACAGTTACCTCATCAAGTTCTACTTTCCTCCCACCCACTTCTTTCGAGAGAAACTCCTTCTCTAGAAAGGATCCATTCTTAGCAATGAATATCTTGCCTTCGAATCTGTGATAGAAGGTGTACCCAGCAGTCTCCTTTGGGTATCCTATGAAGACACGTTTCTCCGATTTGGGTTTGAGCTTATCAGGTTGAAGCTTTTTCACATAAGCATCGCAGCCCCAAACTTCAAGAAACGACAACTTGGGTTTCTTACCAAACCACAGTTCATAAGGTGTCGTCTCAACGGATTTCGATGGTGCCCTATTTAATGTGAATGCAACCGTCTCTAAAGCATAACCCCAAAACGATAGCGGTAAATTAGTAAGAGACATCATAGATCACACCATATCTAATAAAGTGCAGTTACTACATTCACACACACCATTACGCTGTGGTGTTCCAGGTGGTGTGAGTTGCGAAACTATTCCGCATTGTTTCAAATGAAGACCAAACTCGTAACTCAAATATTCTCCTCCATGATCAGATCATAGAAACTTTATTTTCTTGTTACAATGATTTTCCACTTCACTCTAAAATTCTTTGAACTTTTCAAATGTTTCAGGCTTATGTTTCATCAAGTAGATATACCCATATCTGCTCAAATCATTTGTGTAGGTCAGAAAATCACGATACCCGCCACGAGCATCAACACTCATCGGACCGCATACATCAGTATGTATTATTTCCAATAAGTCTGTTGCTCGTTCCATTGTTCCGGAGAACGGAGTCTTAGTCATCTTGCCCATGAGGCATGGTTCACAAGCATCAAGTGATTCATAATCAAGTGATTCCAAAAGTCCATCAGCATGGAGTTTTTTCATGCGCTTCACACCAATATGACCTAAACTGCAGTGCAACAAATAAGTTGCACTGTCATTATTAAACTTATATCTTTTGGCTTCAATACTGTGAATGTGTGTATCACTACTATCGAGATTTAGTAAAAATAGACCACTCATCAAGGGTGCATGACCATAAAAGATATTACTCATATAAATAGAACAACCATTATTCTCTGATTTAAATGAATAACTGTCTCGCATCAAACAAGATCCAGATATAATGTTCATGCTTAACGCTGGCACCAAATAACAATTATTTACGTCCAATACTAATCCCTAAGGTAGATCTAGAGGTAGCGTGCCGACGGCGATCACATCAACTTTGGAACCATTTCCCACGTGCATCGTCACCTCGTCCTTAGCCAATCTTCTCTTAATCCGTAGCCCCTGTTTCGAGTTGCAAATATTAGCAAGAGGACCAGTATCAAATACCCAGGCGCTACTGCGAGCATTAGTAAGGTACACATCAATAACATGTATATCAAATATACTTTTCACTTTGCCATCATTCTTCTCCGCCGAATACTTGGGGCAGTTCCACTTCCAGTGACCAGTCCCTTTGCAGTAAAAGCTCTCAGTCTCAGGCTTAGGTCCAGACTTGGGCTTCTTCACTTGAGCAGCAACTTGCTTGACATTATTCTTGAAGTTCCCCTTCTTCCCTTTACCTTTTTTCTTGAAACTGGTGGTCTTATTGACCATCAACACTTGATGCTCCTTCTTGATTTCTACATCCGTAGCCTTTAGCATTGCGAAGAGCCCAGGAATCGTCTTATCCATCCCTTGCATATTATAGTTCATCACGAAGCTCTTCTAGCTTGGTGGCAGTGATTGAAGAACTATGTCAATGACACTATCATTAGGTAGATTAACTCCCAGTTGAGTCAAGTGGTTGTGGTACTCAGACATTCTAAGCACATGCTCACTTGCTGAGCTATTCTCCTCCATCTTGTAGGCAAAGTACTTGTCATAGATCTCATACCTCTTAACACGGGCATGAGTCTGAAATACCAATTTCAGCTCTTGGAACATCTCATATGCTTCGTGGCGTTCAAAACGTTTTTGAAGTCCCGGTTCTAAGCCATAAAGAATGGCGCACTAAACTATCAAGTAGTAATCATACCGAGCTTGTCAAACATTCATAATGTCTACATCTGCTCTTGCAAAAGGTCCATCATCTAGCGGTGCATCAAGGACATAATTCTTCTGTGCAGCAATGAGGATAATCCTCAGATCACGGAGCTAGTCCGCATCATTGCTACTAACATCTTTCAACATAGCTTTCTCTAGGAACATATCATTTTAACATATAATGAGGCTGGCTAACTCGTCTCCTTGGTTGTCCCTCGATTTTCTTCGGTTTGGACCATTGGATGTTGGTCAAACTATTTATTTTTGCATTGGTGGACGTTGGTTCTCGTTTTGACCGTGCGGTGAGTTCTCGGCAGACCATGACCTATGGGCTCGGTCTCTCAGCCGATTGGCTGGGTGAGCCTTTTCCGGGCACGGGCGGCCTCTCCTGCCGTGCCGCGTGTGTGTGTCGTGGGCGCTATGCGTGATTTACACGTTATGCGGTTCCCGCTTGCCCTGTGGTTCGCTTGTCGGTGACGCTTCAGGTGGGGCTCTTCTCCTTGGTCCCGTGCATCATTGTCCTGCCTCTTGCTTTTTTGTGTGTGCGTGGCCTCCCGCGTCTGGATTGGCTCGTGCCGAGTATGGAGCAAGGAGGGACGCCATCGCCATGTTGCATCGCGTCGTGAGGCGTACTGGAGGCTTATTTTTCTTTGGGTCGTCTGTTACCTTTTCCTGTGTCGCTTTGACCCATCGCCCACCTGCCTCGTCGTCCCTCTCATTGTCCTCTCTGAAGCATAGCCCTCTTCCTCTGCCCTAGGCCGAACAGGTGATGGGGCGCCACCCTGGTTGCGAGGAAGCCGCTGGAGGAAGAGCTCAACTTGGACATTGTCGACCGGAGGAGGGGATTGATTCGATCTGCAGAAGAGAGATAGTAGATGAGAGGGGGAGAGGGAAGGAAGGAGAGGGATTCTATCTCCAAGAGAGAGAGAAGATGAGAGGGAAATAGAGATGGAAGGAGAGGAGGGAGAAAGAGAGAGGAAAGAGGAGAGGGAGGCGCGACAACGGACATGAGAGGGTCAACAATCGGCGTTGGCCTGCCCCAGCGAGGTAGGGCGCGACCTGAAGGTTGGTGGTGGCTTGATCCGCTTCTAGATCAGGACCTACAAGGAGGGTGGAGCTCGGCGCGAGGTACGGCAGGCTGCGCTCCACCTCTTCCTCGAGGTGCATGTGCAGTGGGCGGACGGCAGCTCGAGCGGTGGTGCGGGGGCCTCAACAGGTGCGCAATGGGGACTCCATGCATCTCGTACGCTCCGCAACCCTCTCCTTCCCGACACGTCAGAAACAAGGATGCCGAGGCGGTTCAGCTTTGCCTTCACCTCCTCTCATCTGCAGCTTCATTCAAGCATATATATTAAATTGGTAGGTATTCCAGGGATTTAGCTTATGTATGGACTACACCTACATGGAGAAGTTTCCATGTACACATATCACTGAAAGTGGAATATATATTCCAAATGCCAACACAACCATAGTCCAATATGCAGAACTATTTGTGCCCACGCAGCACATACCTCTTCTACACTTACAAGTCTTCCTTTCCAGGATTGCCATGGTGAGCTGCTACTGTAGTGCTTTATAATTTTTTTGTCCCTTTGCTAAACTTTGTTTTCTTATTCTGATGCTATGATTTGTAATGGCTAGAGATTTGTGGTGAAAAGTTTCCTTTCTTTTGTTTACCTACAGATCTTGAATGCACCGTTGATGATTTTGTTTGATAGGTTAGAAATCTAAATAATAAACATTTTTAAATTGTGTAGTTGGTAAACATCGAAATACAAGAAAAATATACTAGCTTACTACAATGTTGTTTGATCAATTGCTTTGCAGGAGGCTCACTGATGGAGTATGCCTAATCTCAATTTATTGCATGGTGTTGGTATGTTTCTTTTATTCTATTTAGGAGGGTTCTAAACTATTAAGGGAAACATACAATTTATCAGTTTGAGACCTGCTTCAGTCTGTGTGCTGCTGCAGGGGGACTTTGGATGGTGGTCTTGATATTCCGCACAGTGACAAGAGATTTGTTGGCTTTAAGAAGAATGAGAAGTAGCTGGACACTGAGATTCACCGCAACTACATTTATGAAGATCATGTTGCAGACTACATGAAGGTGAGTTGGATCCATTGTCCTTGTGGTATTATTATAATGCCATTTCTTTGTTCCCCTGGGCTATCGTTGTTGTATACATGAATTCTTTCTGAGCCTGATTCATCCATATAAAAGTATCCTAAAACAGTGTACTTTGTTCTTATTTCTGAAGCAGGTTACTGAATCTTGTTTTGACTTCTGCCCTACCCTTATTTCAGTCAATAGATGATGACGAACCTAAGGAGTACCAATTTCACTTTAGTGAGTACATCAAGAAGGGGATTGCGGCTGATGACATGGAAGCACTGTACAAGAAGGTTCATGCTACCATTCATGCTGATCCTACCATGGCAAAATAAACCAAGGAACCTCCAAAGACGCACAAGAGGTAGATGTATCTTGCTGTTTATTAAAGTCAGACAACTTATTTCAGCACTTTCATTGGATTGCAAGTACGGGACTGTTCGCTGCAGGTATAATCTCAGGAAGCGTTGAGACACAGCTTGCCTTGTATGTGATGTTGCAGCTCAAAATGAAGATGTTGTCAATCCAATAAGAGAAGCCAAGGAGCTATTTGGCGATCGTGTGGTGCATACTAGATCATGAAGTTTATGAGTATGCAGTAATGGCTATCAATGTTTTCTCATACTCATGTAGTCCATTCACTCCTAAACTGTATGATCTTCTTTTGTTAAAACCTTGAAGTATTAAGATGTTAGGCTAAATATATTCCTTCATAATCAATAATAGAAATTTTTTGCTATGCAATAAGATACAGTTTCATGCAAAAAATAATCTTGTCTTATATAGTTATATATCAAAACTATGGATTTGCTATGCACTTCTTGTGATCATTAGTGTTCACCGTTTTCATTCGGATTTTGCTGGACACCTGCGACATTGTGGGGTCGGATGCGATGGACGCTGCCAGGTCCGCGCCCATATCATGCTCAGGGATCCTGGCCTCTTTAGTCGTGTTCTCCATCTTGTAGCACATGATGAACTACACTGTAGAGTTCAGCTGTGTTTCCCCTGTTTTCTTCTACTACAAGAGTTCTAATGATTTTTTTTCAGGAAAGAGTTCTAATGATTTGTACTGTTTGGCTGCAAATTTATGTTCTTTGCATCACCATATGGATAGTCATAACGATTGAAGAGATTTCAGAGAGTTTCACAATCTGACTCGAGTCACAGGCTATAGGTTAAATTTAATTGAATGGTAGTATGGGAGTAATAATTCTGAAATCTAGAAATGATCTTGTTGCTCATATAGATCTTTCTGGTAATCTGATCTACCTTGCTTCACAGGCACCGGGCCTTGCTTCACAGGCACTAGGCCCTGCTTCATGGGTAGAACTTCCGAAGGTGCTGAATGTTCCAGGCGTTCTGGATGGGCACCCCGTCCTGCGTCTCCAGGCATGCGGCGCCAGGCCTGGAGATATGGACGACCCTGAACAGGCCCTCCCACATGGGTGAGAGCTTGTGCAACCCTTCCCTAGAGAGGACCCGCCTCAGGACAAGGTCGCCTGCCTTGAGCGTCATGGAGCGGATGTTGCAGCAGTGGTACCACCGTAGCGCCTGCTGGTACCTTGCCGCCCTCAGTGTAGCTTCGCAGCGTTGTTCCTCCCCCAGTACGAGGTCCATCCCCTGCATGGCGTCCTACTGCGTTTCATCAAACGCCAGGACCCGTGCGGAGCGATGCTTGACCTTGTGAGGGAGGACCGCTTCGGCTCCGTAGACAAGGAAGAATGGGGTCTCACCTGTCGGCTTAGTGGCGGTGGTGCGGATGGACCACAACATGGACTGCAGCTCGTCGTGCCAGCCCCGGCCGTAGGCCTCGAGCTTCTTCTTGAAGGTCCTGGTCTTGAGGCCTCTCAGGACCTCCGCGTTGGTGCGTTCAGCCTGGCCATTGCTCCTGGGGTGCGCCACCATAGCATAGCAGATCTGCGTTCCAAGGTTAGCACAATATGTTTTGAAGAGGTTACTGGTGAACTGCGAGCCATTGTCGGTGATGATGCGGTTGGGGACCCCGAAATGGCTCACGAAGCCCTTGATGAACTTAACCGTGGAACCAGCTGGGATGGTGCGGATGGCTTTCACTTCCGCCCACTTGGTGAACTTGTCGATGGCGACGTAGAGGTAGCGGTAGCCCCCTGGCGCTCAAGGGAATGGGCCCAAGATATCCAGCCCCCAGACCACGAACGGCCATGTGAGCGGTATAGTCTGGAGGCCCTGAGCTGGCTGATAGATCTGCTTGGTGTGGAACTGGCAAGCTTCGCAGGACTTCACCAGCTCAGCTGCGTCGTTGAGCGCCGTGGGCCAGTAGAATCCACTGCGGAACACCTTGCCGACGAGAGTCCATGACGACGAGTGGTGTCCACAGTCCCCGCCATGTATGTCAGTCGGCAACTCCTTCCCCTGGTCCCTGGAAAAGCAACGCAACTAAACATCATTTGGTCGCTTCCTATACAACTCACCGTCATGGATGCAGTATGTCGTGGCTTGCCGGGCCACGTGCTCTGTGTCCTCTTCCTTCTCTTGTAGCGCCCCTTGCATCAGATATTCCTTGAATTCCTTGGTCCAACATCCCTCTTGAGGCTCGAGCGCCAAGAGCAAGCGAGCTCCTGAGGTTGGGCCACAAGCTGGGGCTCCTGTGGCAGGCGGTTGTGGGAGCTCCTCCCAAGGCCGTGCCGTGCTTGAAAGTGGTGGCGTCGCTGACGACTTGAAGAGCCGCTCATCGAAGATGCCAGGCTCTTGTGGCTGCCGCTTGGATGCCCTCCTGCCAATGCCGTTGGCTTCCTTGTTGGTGCCACGGGGCACATGTTGCACCTCCAGGCCTAGGAACTGCTTTTCCATCTTACGTACTTCTGCGAGGTACGCCTCCATGTGCTCGTCCTTTGGCTCGTACACTTTGTTGGAGAAGTTGACGAGGATCTGTGAGTCGCCCCTAATGGTGAGGTGCTTCACCCCTAGAGCTGTCGCGGCCTTCAGGCCAGCTATGAGGCCTTCGTATTCTGTGATGTTGTTGGAGACCTTCTCGCCCTGCTGAAAGCAGAGCTGCATAGCGTAGTAGAGCTTGTCCTGTGTGGGCGAGATGAGTACTGCTCCAACCCTCGCGCCCTGGTGCGCGAAGGCACCATCGAAATACATGACCCATCCGTCGGGCACCTCACTTCCTGGCGAGGTGGACCGGTCCTCGCCTACTTCCAGCGTCGGGGCATCCGTCCATTCCGCCACGAAGTCCGCGAGTGCGGATCCCTTGATGACCCTGGTGGTGCTGAACTCCAACTGGAATGCCTGCAGCTCGATGTTCCACTCGGCGACCCTTCCGGCAGAGTTGGGGCTCCTGAGCACCCTCTCCAATGGGTAGGCCGAGACGACTTTGACGGGGTGGCCCTGGAAGTAGTGCCGCAAGTTGCGCGAGGCCACCAGGAGCGTGAGCAGGAGCTTCTGAGGCATGGGATAGCGTGCCCTCACGTCCCGCTACACCGTGCTGACGAAGTACACCGGGTGCTCGACGAGGACCGGCGTGTTGGTGAGGCTCGCATCTTGTGCAAACTGGGGTGCCTCCTGAGGTTGTGGGACCCCTGGAGCCTGGTCACTTGCGGGAATCTCTACGATGGCATCCTGCTAAGCTTGGTCTTCTATTGCTGCCGCTATGGCTCTTGCTGCGCCTTCCTAATCTTGCGTCATCTTGGTTGGCGACGTAGCTTGGCACGGCGCACTCTTGGCCTGGTGCTCCTCTCGAACCGCCACTAGCGCAGCGCTGGCAGAGTATGGGGTGGCGGCAAGATAAAGTACTAGAGGCTCGAGAGGTCGTGGCGCCACCAACACCGGTGAGCTGGTCAGGTATCTCTTGAGGTCTTGGAAGGCTCGGTCGGCCTCCGGAGTCCACTCAAACGGGCCCTTCTTCTTCATCAGCTTGAAAAAGGGTAAGGCGCGCTCTCCGAGCTTGGAGATGAAGCACCCCAATGCAGTCACCCGACCAGCCAGCTTCTGCATTTCCTTGAGGGTCTGCGGCGGGCTCATGCCCTCAATGGCCTTGATCTTCTCCGGGTTCGCCTCGATCCCTCCGTGTGACACGAGGAATCCCAGCAGCTTGCCGGAAGGGACACTGAACACACACTTTTCCGGGTTAAGCCACAAGTTCACCTGGCGCAGGCTTTCGAAGGTCTCCTCCAGGTCTTAGATCAAGGTTCTCGCCTCCCGAGACTTCACCACAATGTCATCGACGTAGGCCTCCGTGTTCCTCCCGAGCTGCCGCCCTAAAGCGATGTGCATCAGCCGCTGAAAGGTCGCACCCGCGTTGCGCAGTACGAAGGGCATACATGTGTAGCATTACACCCTACACGGGGTTAGGAAGGCTATCTTCTCTACATCTTCCACCACCATCTTGATTTGGTGATACCCTGAGAACGCATCCAGGAAGCATAGTAGGTCGCACTCGGCGGTGGAGTCGATGATCTGGTCGATGCGCGGGAGAGGGAACGGATCTTGAGGGCACGCCTTGTTGAGGTTGGTGAAGTCGACACACATTCGCTCCTTCCTGGCTTTCTTCGGCACCACGACTGGGTTCGCCAGCCATTCGGGGTACCTAACCTCACGAACGGCACCTGCCACCTCCAACTTGCGGGTCTCTTGGACGATTAAGGCCTGCTTCTCCATCGACTGCCGTCTTGCTCGCTGCTTCACAGGGCGTACATTGGGGCACACCCTTAAGTGGTGTTGAATCACCTCTCTCGGGACCCCCACCAGCTGATTGGGCTCCCATGCGAATATGTCCTTGTTCGCGCGCAAGAACTTCACCAATGCTTCCTCTTGGCTGGGGTTGAGGCCGGGACCTATGGTGAAGGTGACTCCTGAGGAGCTGTCCTCATCGACCGACACCTGCTTGGTCTCTTTCTTGTCTTGGGTGAACAACTGCTTCTTCTTGGTTGGCGCGGCCTCCTTGGCCTCGGGGG